AATATTTTTTTATATTTTTTTAAAAAAATATTAAACAAAATTAATAATTGTTTAGTTTCCTTTTTTAGACAGGTCAGATCAGGTTGGGTCGGGTCAAATGTATATTTAATTCAGATCAATTTTATGTCTGATCTGACCTGACCTTATCAGGTTGGGTTAAGTCAATTACTCGATCTGACCTGATCTATTCGGAGCTCTAGAAAATATAGAAAAAGGGAAATATCCTGATGCATATGTTTTTCCACCTAAAAAAAGGTATTGAGGAAAAGGCCAGTAACTGGTCTAGATTTTGCATCTTTATGTCCTAGCCTTATTATAACATATAACCTCTTTCCAGAAAAATTTATATTAAGTTCAAAGGATGCCGATATTGCACGAAAAATTGGGAATACTCTACATAAGATTAGTTTTCCATTCAATAAATGTGACATCAATACTTGGTGTATAAGACATGATAATTGATTGGAGAAGAAGTGTTTATACCCCACTGTATTAGAGGATTTATTTAACAAGAGAGTTGAGTTTAAAATACGACTAGCTTTATTAGGAAAGAAAAAAGAACAACTTGAGAAGTTGATAAGTTCAGCTAAAGAGAGGGGCAAAAGGATTCCAGAAAGGTTAAATTTAGAATATTCATCCATATGCTTTGAATATGATTATCAAGATTAAAGCAAAAAACTTTGACGGTATATATGAACACATTTTACAGGGAAGCAGGAAACTCAAAATCTCCAATCTTTCTTCGCGAATTGGCTGAAAGAATTACTTCAACAGGAAAATACAACCTTAATCTTGTTACAGAATTCGTAATAGAGAAAGGATTTGGGATAAAATATGGGATACCGATTCTTTATATCTAACCTACCCAGATAGGTATTATGAAAAATACGATAAAGCCTTCTCCAGAAAAAAACTTTCCAAAGAAGCGCATTAGATTGAAATAGTCAAAATTACTATGGATGTGATGAAAAAATTACGCGATCAAGTAAATGCTTATCTTAAGATAAAAAGTGAGACATATTATTTAAAGATAGCATACAAAGAGTTATTATTTTCCATCTGCTTTAATAGTAAAAAGAAGTACTTTGGGATTGGACATGAAGATGTAGTAAACTTTAAGCCGAAAAAACTTTTCATGAAAAGGATAGAAACTATAAAGCAAGGTAATTTCCAGCTTCTCAAATTCATTGGAGAGAAGATTATGAGAGAAGCTATGAATATAAACAAAAAAATGGCTTGAAAAATATATTAAGAGTCTTTAATAAACTTTTAGGTATTTTGATAATTCGTCTAAAGTTGATATAGATAATATCATCAAATTATATGAATAGAACTCTTAGCCGAAATTACCACATCCTGCTAAGAGATCTCATATAATATTTATAGTAGCATATTTTTTCTCGTGCAATAATACCGGCTAACTTCAATTTCTATTTTCGAACTTCTAGCCTAGAACAATCTCTCCAATCTTCTAGCCTCCAATCATACATCCCAGCCTCAGATATATCCAGAGATGATTTGAATAATAATTAGTATTTTTTCGCATATAATAATTTGGCAAATTTCAGCCAAGACCCTGGTCAAAAATCTACATATTTTTTAAACATAAGCTTTATTGGTATAATGGCTGAACTACGTGACATAGTTTTCCAATACATATGCTTTAAACTAAAGATGATACCCATAATTAATTTAACAATATGTTATAATTATAAAATTTTATAATCTTGTTGCAACATTTGTTATAATTTGTTATAATTAAAATTATGTCATAATTTAAAATATAAGACACAATTAGCCGCAACTTAAAGTATAAGACGTAATTAATCGCAACTTAAAATATAAGTCACAATTAGCTGCATCTTATACTTTAAGTTGCGGCTAATTATAATTTATATTTTAAATTGCAACATTTTTTAAATTATAACACATGTTATAATTATTAAAAAATTTATATGATGTTGCAACATTTTAATTATGGTATCCATCTTTAATAGTGATTATTTAGAGGTTAAATTAGTATTGTTAGCTTTATAAGTAAAATTTATCATGATATTTTATTTATTATTTAACCAATATACTATTTTTATTAAATCATGTAAAAAATATTATCGGATTACATAATTTCCTATTTAATTTTCATGATTGCTAAAAAAATCAGTGATTAGAACTTACTTTTGAGATTGAACTTCAAGCCGCCTTACTACATTTAAGTATTTTTTAAAGATATAACCATCTTCAATGCTAAATTCATCTATTTGCTGTTGATCAAAAAATGTAATCCAAGTTTGTAAAGATTTGAGAGCTTCATTTAGAGATATTAATCTTGGTTTTTCTTCAGAATCATTATTAGTATCATCTTCTTCATGTATTTTCTCTTGAACTAATTGTATAATATCATCATCATTTAGAATATCTTCAGTTGGAACTTCTTCTAATTCATAAAAATAATCAGTCAATGCATTTTTTAATAAAGCATTATAAGAATCATCATTAAGTTTTTCAATTTCTTTTATTATTTGATTAATCTTTGCTTCTTCATGATCTGCTAAATTTTGTTAGATTTGTGTTGCATTATCTATATTTTCATCAGTTGAAGAAGGCAGAATTCCAGTCTTTTTCCAATAGTTGTGAATAGTTTCTTCAATTATTTGCTTCCATGCATCCATAATTAATTGCTTCCTTAATATTGATTTTCTCTTTACTAATATCTTTTTCATCATCAAATAGATTTAACATATGATGACAAAAATTTCTCTTATAATGGTTTTTAAAGCTTGCAATGATCCCAGCGTCAAGTGACTGAAGATAGCTTGTAGTATTAGGAGGTAAAAAGACTACCTCAATATGAGTTAATTGAAACTGAGGGATATTAAGTCTATTCTTTGATTTATCACCACGATCTCTATCACAACCTCTAGATTCACGATTACTTAGTTTATCACTACAGCCTCTACCACGACTTCTAGATTTACAATTGCTTGGTTCACCATCATGGCTTCTTGAAGCTTGATTTATATTAAAAAAAAAATCTAGTAAGATATTTTTATTAAATATTTGACGATTATATTATATTTATCATGTAAATAATTTTTCTATTTTTTATTTTTTAAATTTTTTTTTTATTATTTAATTTTTTTTTTATTATTATTATTATTATTATTATTTTTATTTTTTTATTGTATTTTTTTAATATGTAATATACATTAATAAATAAATATATATGTAATATAAATTAAATAAACTAATAAACTAAATAGCTTTATAAAAGTAAAATTAACTTTCCGTTAATCTGATAATAAACTTTATATTGTTACCCAACTATTGATTAGGCGGACTGAAACACGTAATCAATTGAGTAGCAGCAAGATTTAGCTCAATCT